CGATGCGGGGATTTTCAAAATGTTTTTGTAAAATTAGGAGAATTAACATACTAGGAAAAAGACCTGTTAGGAACGCGGTGAGGATATAATGTGAGATTTTCAAGTTATATGATTGAGTAGTGAAATTTATGTAGTTGCTTGCTCGTGTGAAATATATGAATTTTGATGACATCTTTGAATGTATGTATGTGTTAGAGCTTAGTATGGACCTAGTGAAGAACTTTGCGGTTCAAATAGTGTAGGGACTTTTTGAATGCCTAAGTATTTAAGAGACTTGTGAGAAAAGAAGAAAAACGGTTAAGATGGTGAAGGTGTTGTGGTCTAACCATCTGGCCAAAAATGCCACATGGGAGACTGAGGAGGATATGCGCAAACGATATCCGAAATTATTCGACTAAGGTAAAATATTAGTTACGAGGACGTAACCTCTCTTTAAGGGGGGTAGAATGTAATACTTAAGAATTTGAGTACTTAGATTAAGTTAATGTTTCGGGACGAAACATCTTTTAAGGAGGGTAGAGTGTGACACTTCAAAAATTTAAATAAAAATAAAAATAATTTTTAATCAGATAAAATATTACGAAAATAACAATTTTAGAATTAATTGAGTCAGACAAAAATTCAACAGTTGTAACATTCTAATCAGATAAAAATTTCAAAAATTATGATGCTTTAGTCAGATAAAAATATTTCAGTAATAAGAACAACATTTTAGTAAACAAGTGAACCAGACAGAAAAATTTACATTTACGACATTTTTAATCAGATAAAAATGGCCCGATAATAGAAGTTATGTTTTAGTATAAAATTAATTTTTATATAACTATTTTAGGTTGTATAATATACAAAGTGTAAACTAAATAATTAAAATACTCATAATACATATATATATATATATATATATATACACGTAAGTAATAATAATAGTATAACCTACGTAAGTAATAATAATAGTATAACCTACGTAAGTAATATACTTATATAGTAAGTATAATTATATTACTCCTAAATAACTACTACAACATATTTATAATACTCCTACTATAATACGTATAATACTCCCGGTAGATTTTCTTGGCCGGCAAACCAACACAACCAAGGATGGGAGGAGTTTTTTTAGTTCAAATCAAAATCTAACATCTCAGTTTAAAACCCTCGACCTACACCTATAAATAATAGGCCAGAACCTGCGTTTTCTTCATCCCCAAAATCTGCGAAATATACATATATACGTATATATAAATATATATTTTCGACCCACCGTTTTAGCCAGAAACAAACCCTGAAAACACCCCTCAAACCTTCCCCTTCGTGAGACGAATCCAACGGAAAAAGAATCGTCGAAAACGGTCGTGAAACGAGGGAGAAAAGCCTCGCCGGAGTTTCGCCGGGGAAAAACTTTTCGACGGAAAACGGAGAGGAGGGAGGAGCTGCCGCCGTACCATCCCTGATCACCGCCGACCCAGAAGGAGCCGATAGCACCGCCGTTACGGCCGTCCGACGAGGTGAGTTCTTTCCCCCCTTGCCTCCCCGTTTTTCCGGCGACCATGTGAGGAAGACAACCCAGCTGAGCTGGGGTCTGTCCCTCTTGGGCCTGATTTTTTGTGGGCCAGAAAATTAAATTTGGCCCAGTTCGGCTCAGTTGCAATAAAAATTAAAAATAAAATAGTAAATAAAATAAATAAAATCTGGAAAAATATAAATTAAATACCTAGTATAAATATACATATTCGTACCAACCAGAATTGGAAAATAATTTTTTTAGCTATTTTTAATGGATTTAATGGTAATTGGGCCAATTTATACACATTTAGTAAATAATTAACTAAATAGCGAAAATAATTATGAAATAAATATTGGAGTAAACTAGGATAAATATATGGCTAACTAGGACCTTATGGACCATTTATAATTAATAAAAATAAGGTTTAGTATATTTAATTGTAATTAAACCGGTTAATAGATATATGAAATTAAAGGAATAATTATGGAAAAATAATTATAAAATAGATATCTGGACAACCTAGGTGAAATATAGACCCAAAATATAGTTATGGACGGTTTTTTTTGTAAAATCGATTTTTAGTCTATTTATTTAAATTAGGCCATATAAAACTAGTTAAGTAATTAAATAAGGAAATATTAGTATTAATGGTGAAATAAATAAATCACTGAGGTTGAAAAATAATATTCTGGACTAAAAATAATGTTTGAATAAAATAAGGAAAATAAATATTTTCGGTTATGTAAATAAAGTAATTAGATAATAATTAGAGAAAATTAAGGGTGATTATTGAATAAAAATTGGATGTTGTAGCCAATAATATTCGGATATTTTATTTAATATTAGAATTCAAATATTATAATTAATGGCTGAATTAATAAGGTAATTTGATTAATAAAAAGTGATTAACCAAAGTTAATGCGAATAATAAAATAAAAGGAGAAAATCGGGTAAAGTAATTACAAATAGAATAAGTGACTAATTTATCATATTTAATTAAAAAGGTGATTATCTAGAGACCGGATTAGAGGAGGATAACTAGGAGCAACAGGACTTAAGGTAAGTTTCTCTGCCAATCCAAAATTGTTTCCTCGTATTATATGCTTATTATGCATTATGTGATTAAGTGTGATTTGTGAATTTTGTGTATGTGATTTTGAGAAGATATTATATATATGGTAGTTAAGAAGTATAAATCAAGAACTTTTGGGGTATTAAATATTTTTAAATACCTTTGAGACTTTTTAGAGAAATTAAGAAGTATTTTTGAAGTATTGTTAAGCAAAGATAAAATTTACATTTTCATAAGAAGATAGCATCTCGGGAGTAATCCGAGGTGTCGGTTTTTCCACATCCGGATAAATGTGGAGGGTGATTAGAGCTACTACTACTAAGAAGTACAGTTTGGATCTATGATCCCTTTTAAGCAAGATTTGGATCTATGATCCCTTTTAAGTAAGATTTGGATCTATGATCCCTTTTAAGAAGAAGTTATAGTAGTAGTCCCTAATCATTCAAGAATTTTAGAATTGGGGTGGTTGGGTTCCGACCACTCGGGATGACTTACTACTCGGAGGGCTTGGAATCCCTTTTAGGGGGTGTGCACACTTAAGGTAGTCGTTTCGTTTCCAACAGAGCAGTTGTGGTACCGGCACTTGTTCGGGGTGGCCGTCCGTAACCACGGTCCACCGGGCTCTACCGAAAGGTTAAGCACCGCCCTTCTAAATTACTAGGAAGTTAGAGAAGAAGTGATTTTCTTAAGAAGTTTAAAAAGAAGAGTTACTAAGAGATTTTCCAAGAGAAGTTTAAGATTTTAGCAAAGAAGTAGTTTGAGAAAAACCAAAGTGAAAAGAATTTTGATGGTGTGAGTATTTTTATATATTATTATATAAAAATCTATTTTTAGCCAAACCTGATTATTTTACGGGGTTGGGTAGTACTTACTTAGTTCTAAAGCTAATTTTTGTTATTTTTCTTGTCTCTCTCTTCTCCCTTAAATTTTATCAGGTGATGAGTTGGATACCTATGTAGATTGACGGATTGCTCGAGCTTGAGTGCGAATTAGAAGATGCCTTAGTTAAATCTAGTCATAAAACAAACATTTACTTATTATTACATTAGTTTTTATTGTTTTACTTTGAGTTGCCTGTGCATTCGGTTAAGAGATGACCGAATGTGGCGGTAACACTCATTTCCCTTTTAGACTTCCGCTGTATTTCTTCAACTCTTTGATGAATGAATAAAGTATTTCTTTTAAATATATCAATGTTTTGGGCGGGAAATTTAGGGGTGTTACACCTGCCTTCCAGCCCGACCAGCAACCTGTCTCCAGCCCAGCGGGGAGCTTGCCTTCCAGGCCGACCAGGAGCCTTCCTCCAGCCCAGGGGAGCCTACCGTCAGTCCAACAGGAGGAAGCTCAAACGTCCGGCCAGCCAACCAGGCCGACCCACCAGCCAGGAACAGTAACAGTCAAGACAATCAATGCGATATTAATTATGTATTTAATTCCGTATTAATGTTATAATTAATGCATCATTCTTGTATTTGGCAGTTACCATTTGTAATCGCCTATAAAAGGCAAGTCCGATTCAAATAATAGATATGCTATTTCTGGCTACCAAATTCCCTATGCAACTTTCCTTATTCATAATACTTTCCTGATTCCTGTTTGAGTGTTCTTTTGTAGCTTTCCTTAAAGCCTACAAACGTCCTATTTTGGATCAACATTGGTGCTTTCATTGAGCACTTTCCATTCTCGTATTATTTTATTGATTCCTGCTTGAGTGTCGAACGTAGCTTTCCCAAAAGCCTACGAGCGTCCTATTTTGGACCAACAATCATCATCATCATCATTACGCCAGTGCCGGCAAAGGCTCCCACTTTCGGTGGGGTTAGGGGGGTCGAATGTACGCAGTCTTACCCTTGTACTAAAGCACAAAGAGACTATTTCTGGATGAGCCATAGTGAAATCGCGTTGAAATTTCCATGAACTGACTACTGCTTCATAACAAAGAAGCGCAACCAGTTTAGTGAGCCATTTTGCTTTATTCCGTCATATTGCCAAGCCAAAAAATATTGAGTCTTTGGCTCCTTTGCAAATGAAGGAAAATTAATATAAATGACTTATATTATAAAAATTCGATGGAAAAGACAAACAATAAGAATGACAACAAGACTCACAACCACGCCTTGATCACTAACTCAAGAATCAAACATAGAGATGACCATTCGACAGACATGTATAAGCCAATAGTGATCCACCTAATTCCTACACTTTAGAATCAAACCCAAAGTAGAAATTTAACAAGTAAAAAGTAAAACACGCATCAGAAGTTTGACACAACGCAAACAATGATTAAGGATAAATAAACACCAGAACTAGTAAAAAACTCAAAATCAAAACAAAAAATTGTTCGTCCGGCTAGAGATCTTGAGCCTTTCAAACACCAAGGCGGGCACCTGTATCGCATATCTCGCTCCACCCACAGATCTTTGAGCTTCTCCTTAGGTTTTATGTACTTTTTAAGAAGAAAATAGTAGAGGTAGTATAGAGATGTATGATAAATGAAAAGATAAGAGATACAATATACGGAGTATTAAGAAGAGTAAAGTAATGATAAAATAGGAAAGAGAAATTTAAAAAGGAGCAAGGGTAATAAAATTGAGGTATAAAGATATTTTGATTTAAAAAACTTACTAAAAGGGGAAACAAGAACAAATAATTAAAAACATCCCAAAAAGGAATACAAGATAGTTAATAGAGAACGGAAGGAGTACTCGAAAGTAAAAACACTTAAAGATCTTAATTTAACTAGCGAAGGAACACTTAACTCGTTTTTTTTTGGGTTGGGCAAGGAGCTAGGGTTTGGAGTAAAGTGGGATGAAACAAATTTAGGAAATGCTTGAAATTAATTCTACTTCTATTTCTTTTTTAAAAAGCAAAGTATAATCCAAATAAGTTTTGAGAAGCTGGTTTTCTCCAACAATTTTGAAAGCTCAAAAGTACTTGTAAACTTTTATGCAAACACTTCAATATCTATTTTACCCCTTTTAAAAACAAAAACTAGATCCATAGTCTAGACACTTCCTAAATTTATCTTTCAGCGGCGCTTTTTAACTTTTCAAACTCTCATTTTCTCTTCTCAGTCACTCGCTTGTCAACACTTTTGATGACTTCTTGATTTTCCGTAGCTTAGAAAAAAGTTTTTATTATCGCCTTTAATTTGTTTCATTGTAAAGTTAGGAATATTTTCATGGTTCTGTTTTAGACTGCTAGAGAATCTTAAAGTTTGCAACTTTTTCCCGTTTTGGGTTTGGATTTCCTTCATTGACCGGTCTTTTCATAACAGTGAAGCCGATCAAGCTCCTCCTCCTCTGCCTAACCTGCGACTTTTTGCAGAAATTCAGAGTTTGATGATCTTTAGGGTTTACATCCTTAATTTGGTACGTGCTTCTTTTTGTGGTATTACCTTCTGGTTTTTGTGGTTGTATTTTGTTTAATAATTTCAAATGCTTAATCGGGTGATTATTTGCTTTATTAATTTTAGCTTAATCCAATTCCACAAAATTTGATACACGTTTTGTTCTTAAATTACAATTTACTTTGAGATGTGATGTATCCCTGATGTTAGGTTAACTAAAGGAGAAGCTATTATATACTTCCTTATGTAGTGTTTTTTTTTGTTATAAAAAACTTCCTTATGTAGTGTTATTTTCTAAATCTGGTGTGGAAGGAAATGCTTTTAAACCCTTACCATTTTCGTGTTCAATTTTTGTTAATCCAAGATTCCATAGAGACTAGAGTGTGCAAAAGTATAAATTTTAATTAGTTTTCAGTAGTATGCTATTTTAAGTAGTTTTTCATTGGTTTAAGATTGTGCTACATTCTACAAGCGGGTGGCATCTTAGCAAAGCTTTTGTGGGATGCTAATAATAGTTTTGTTAGATGCCAAAGGCCCAAAACTCAAAATATTCAAAAAGCATCTATTGGAAGGACTTTTATTGCATCAGTTCATTTTTAAACTGTTGCTTCTTATTTTTGATATATATATATATATATATATATATATAGCATATATATACTATGGTCATTAGTTTGCTGAATAATTTTTTGGGTCTACCATCTGGTTCTCACACAAGTTCCAACTTTTGCATTCATAGTGACTGCTCTGCTTGCACACTATAATCTTCCAAAGCGGTAATCACGTTGTTGATTTTCTATGTGCCTGTTGTGGATAAGCAAATCTTCCAGCTATCCTATTAAGTCTATAGTAGATTTCAGATGTAATTTTTCTGTCTTCTCTAGTTGTAGGGATATTTGAAAAAAACATGGTTGCAAAAGAACTCAAGAAACCCGCCATAGGATCTCCAAAAGTGGAAGTTGGAGAAATAGACACAAGTGCACCGTTTCAGTCGGTCAAAGATGCTGTCAACTTGTTCGGTGAAGGTGCTTTCTCAGGGGAAAGAAATCCAATCAAGAAGCCAAAACCTCATTCTGCAGAGGTAGGTTCTCCAAGTCAATCTGATTTCCTTGCCACTTTTGATGTGGTTGATCTAATATTTGATTCAAACACTTCATGAACCAAGAGCATTGTTGGGATGTATAAATCAAAGAATCACATAAAAAGTTTAATCTACCCTATTTATACTGTACAACTAGTCAACTACTATTGTACATATTTATAATTATAAAAGCTGTACATTTTTCTGTCAAAGGTTGTGCCTTTTATATTTCAGTAAATGGAAATATATGTCAAGCTGTACACTAGTTTTGCTATGGAAAGCTGAACATATGAATATATTCTTTCACTGCATTTGTTTTTTTTTTAACAAAAACTTAGTAGCCGACTAGCCGCCTTCATTGTTCTATTTGTTTGTGTAATAAGTTGCTCAGAGTTACTAATTTTACACCCAGAGGAGTACTACTGTAGTATTCTTGGTCAATGTGGTTAGTATTAACAGTGTTCTGTAAAGCCCTAGGCGGGGAGGGGGGGTGGGGGGGCAATCATAGCCTAGATGGGGCAGAAATGCTGAATAAAGAAAAAAACTTAGGTTGATTAGGGAGTACTAGACGTCTAGACCTAGGTGGTGATTTATAGAACAATGCACCTTTATTTATTATTATGATTTTTTTTTGGAAATTTGCCTGTAGAGAGTACTGGCGAAGGAAACACAACTTCACTTGGCACAGAAAGAGATAGACAAATTAGAGGAACGACTGAAGAATGCTGAAACAACAAAGTCCCAAGCCCTCATGGAGCTTGAGAGGGCCAAAATAGCCGTCGAGGAACTGACCTCACAGCTTAAAGTCATTTCCGAAACAAAGGATTCCGCAGTTAAGACCGCTGAAGCAGCAAAGAATCAGGTTGAGAGCAGCTACTCTAAAGTGAAAACTGATGAATCTTGGAAGATGGACTTGGAAACATCAAGAGATCAATACAAGTCTGCATTAACCGATCTTGATGCAGCAAAGCAAGAACTCAGTAAACTACGTCAAGATTATAATGCTTCTGCCAATGAAATTTACACAGCTGTGAATCAAGAGGCAGAAGCTGACAGAACTGTCAGATCCAACAGTGAAAAGGCCACGGAGCTTTCTAAGGAAGTATTGGTTATGCAGGAATCGATCGAGCAGATCAAACTTGCCAGTATACAGGTACAGGCAGAAGAGGCTGAAATCCATGTGGAGAAGGATGATCAGAAACAGTTGTTCAAATCCAGCCTTGAAGAGTCAACTAAGAAGTTAGCTTCTTTAAGAAACGAGGCCAATCCCCACTTGAAAAATGATCTGGAAACTCGGCTAGCAGAGATAGAATTGCTACAAAAAGCGATGGAAACCGCAAGGTCTTCGGATCTCGATTCTGTTCGGGCTGTTACAATGGAATTGGATGATGCCAAGGGATCACTTAATAAGGTAGTAGAAGAAGAAATCTCATTGAGAATGCTGCTGGAAAATCTCAAACTCGAGCTGGAGAATGTAAAGAAGGAGCACTCTGAACTGAAGGAGAAGGAATTAGAAACTGAAACCCTTGCAGGGAATCTCCACGTCCAGCTAAGGAAAGCCAAGTCAGAGCTAGAAGCAGCACTTGAAGAAGAATCAGAAGTCAGAGGGGCTTCTGGAGAAATGATCAATACCCTCCAACAGCTACGATCAGAGTGTGAAAATGCTAAAACTGAATCTGAAGAAATGAAAGTACTAGTGGAAGTGATAAAGAAAGAAGGGGAAACCATTAGAACTGCACTGGAAGAGGCTGAGAAAAAACTTGAAATTGCATTGGAAGAGGCTGAAGCTGCAAAGGCAGCCGAAGCGGAGGCTCTTGATCTAATCAGGATTTTGTCAGAGAGAACTGTTCCTGCCCGTGCCTCAACTTCCGAATCTGGTGCTAGGGTCACTCTGTCTAAAGACGAATTTGATGCACTGAGTAGGAAAGTTGAAGAGTCAGAGAGACTGTCAGAGATGAAAGTTGAAGCTGCAATGGCTCAGGTGGATGCCGTGAGAGCAAGCGAGAATGAGGCGGTCAAGAAGTTGGAGGCTATGCAGAAAGAGATAAGTGAGGTAAGAGCTGCCACTCAAGAGGCGCTGAAGAGGGCAGATATGGCAGAAGCTGCAAAAAGGGCTGTGGAGGGAGAGATGCGGAGGTTGCGGGAAAGGGACCAAAATAAACCAGCAGTCGCAGCGTCCCGTAATCTGGCAGAGACAACGACCAGTGAGCCTGGAAGGAGAAAGAACCCCAAAGTGTTGATGCCTAACCTCAGTGGGATGTTTCATAAGAGGGTAAACCAAGTTGAGGGTGGCTCTCCTTCTTATCTGCCTGGGGAGAAACCTGTCTGGTGAGGGAGAACTACTTATTAGTGGGTGGGTGGTTGAGTATATATCTCAAACTTGTCTTGCTTTTTACGGAGTATTATTATTACTCCGTATTATAGTACTTTTTAGTTACATTCTGGCTGGAAGTATTTATGATGCTTGATAATTTTAGGTAAGTGCATCTTTGAAGATGTTAATGTTGTCCTGATAACCAACTCCAAATCCAGCTTCCAGGATGTTTGACATGTGATCTGCTTCCTTCTTCAAAGCAAAATCTAAGTTGTACCCAACCTTGTCAACATAGACAAAATAGTATATTACAATAAGCTAATTCAAGCATAGGGGAAATGGTCGTTGTCCAATGATAAGAATTTTTATGTTCATCACATACTATTGAGACTATGGGTCATCTGAAAGTGCTTTAGTACATGGGTGTGCTTTAGTACATTGGTAAGGCTGCGTACATTCTATCCCCTTACCCGACCATAGGTGAGAGCCCTTGCGGTACATGGTAATGATGATGATGATCACATACTATTGAGGTGTCGTAACATTCACTTGATGATAATAGTAATATTCGAGTCTGACTTCTCAGTGATCAAGCAGCGCCGGAAAAGGAAGAACTTGCACTAATAAAGCAACATTGCATAACATGTTCTTTTACCAGTTTCATTCCTTATGCAGCGCAAATCAAGATTCTGTTGATTTAGTTCTCATCGTCCTTTTCTATGTAAAGGAAGAGGAGAATGAGTCCATTTTCAGTTTCTCACAAGTTTTTTCCATACCGGGAATGGACAGAGGATTCAGCCCTTTATTCTCCATAAATCAGCCTCATTGCATTCCGAACTAGGGGTGGACTGGGCTGGTTCTGGGCCAGGCTCCGGTCCGGGTCTGGGCGGGCTCCGGGTCCGGTTAAACCAGCCCGTCAGGTTCGGCCTACCTGGGCGGGCTTCGGGTTGGGTCCGGGTCGGGCCGGGCATATTAAATTTTTGTAAGCTAATTCACAATTGCTAAAAAAATTTCAATGTATATTTATTGAAATATGAAGTACAATTGATAATATAGTTAATAGTCTGTTTTTTTAAAAAAAGGGAAAAAATACTTCGCGTCGGCTTGGCTTTTAATTTTGCATTTTTGCATACTCCACGGGGTGTTTTGCCTTCAAATGCCTATGCGCTGCCATATCTTTGCGAAATTCTCAAGCTAATTTTTTTGTTACTTCCTCCGTTTCTAAATAAACTTCCAACTTTCCTTTTTCGTCCGTTCCAACTTCCAATTAAAACTTCAATTTTCCCTTTTTAGTAAAGAATTTGTGATTCACAACATTTCTTACACATTTCTCTCTCCCCTGCACAACTCTCCACCACACAATATTCACTATCTTAAACTGTGTGCCAAACCTATTTTGATGTTTTAATAAATTAATAGGAATGGAGGGAGTAAAATGGTAGCAAGTTGCCCACCACTTCTCGCTTGTCATTTCCTTCCATTTTGTGTAATTATTTTTCATAAGGAGAGATCCACCCTTCTTATCGAGTTGGGATGAATCAGGCTCTTCCTCGTCAGGTGTTTCTTCGTCTGTCGCTTGGTCCTCCTTTTCGGTGTCATACATCGCATCTCTCCGGTCATAATTTGTGTCAAAATCATCCCGGCTTTGAGAAGAAGACCCGACATGTCATTTACCTTTGTCTTGCGAATTAGGATGATTTTTCGCATTCTCCTTCTTTCGGTTGCGTTGAAGGTTACCCATATCTACAGAATGTCTATCTCGTTCCATCTTAAAATATTACAAATATTAAATTATAACAAATATGTCAATGTGAGTACAATTACAATGCAATTAATAAAAAATGTAAGTAATTTGTAACAATACTTATTTGTGAGTGCAATTAACATGTGACTTTAAAATAACAAATGTGACTTTTATATTTAAATGTAAGTAATGTAATAAATTAATAAAAATGTGACTTTTATATTAAAGTGTGAGTACAAATAAATTCCAAATACTTTAATAGTTTGATCTAACAAGTATAGTAAAATTAACTAAAATGCAACTACTTTAATATTTTGAGCTAACAACTTTTATTTGATTAATATTAGTATGTAACAAATATGGTTAGTTAATATGATAATGCCACAAATATATATATATATATATATATATATATATATATATATATATAGTATAATTAACTAAAAATGCAACTACTTTAATAGTTTAATATAATCTTTAATATGATTAATACTCCCTCAGTCCCTATATAAAAGGCTTCATTGCTTTTAAACACATATTAAGAAAGTGGGGTTGTGTGGCATTTTTTGACACTGTTTTGACATTGTTTGGCACTAATTGACACTGTTTTGAACTGTTTTGTTTGCCAAAAAAGGAAAAAGGTCTTTAATTTAGGGAGGACCCCAAAAGGAAAGTGATACTTTTATTTAGGGACGAAGGGAGTATTAATATCTAAGAAATGAGAATGTAATTAATATGATAATGAAACAAGTATTGTAAAATTAACTAAAACGCAACTACTTTAATATTTTAACTTAACAACTTTTATATGATTAATATTAGTATGAAACAAATATGGTTAATTAATATGATAATGTGACAAGTATAGTATAATTAACTAAAAATGCAACTACTTTAATAGTATAATTAATATCTAAGAAATGAGAATGTAACAAATATTAAAGTTGAGAAAATGAGAAGTTTAACTAATAATCTTAATGACAAGTGTAACTAATAGGATATATGTGTGAATGTATAATAATAATTAATGGGAGTGTGAGTGTGTAAGTAATAGGATAAATGTAACTTATATTAATGAAAGTGACTAATGGGATAAATTTAACTAATATTAATTAATGAATATTAGTTAAGTTATAAATTATAAATTATAAATGTATAAACTATAGTAAATGTATAAACTATAAATTATACTTTAACTAACTAATATATAATATAATGTTTATATTATACTCCGTATAATATATAAGTATACTACTATAAGATGAGTAGTACACTTATATTTAATACTTTAATATATATAAGTAGATATAATATATGTGTGATGGATTGCGTACCCGGGGGTAGCTTATCCGAGGGGTTATTACGGGAATAACTAGAGAGAAGTCAGAGTAAATAAGCAAGAGAGAGAGAGAGAGAATATGTATTTGATATCTGAATTTGTGATGCCTTACAACGGGGAAATAGGCTGCTATTTATAGCAGCAATAAATGCTAGATAGAGACATGTGTCAATAATCTGGTGGTCGAGGGGTCACTTCAACCGGGGTGACACCGACATTTGCATGTGCCGCATTAAATGCGGTGGTTGGATGCAATGTTGTACTTGGTACGGTGATCCAACGCATGTGGAGAGGAGATTCTGTCGAGGAAGACGCTTTCGGCTGTATCTACTGTGCCAAAGGCTCCCTGGGTCGGGGACCTCTTTGTGTCGAGGGCTGTAGGTGCCGAAGGCTTGGTATTCAAACTCTGTCCTCCTGCGATGTTCGTGAGCCAAATTCTGTCATCAGTAGCCTTCGGTCATGGGGCCGAAGGCACGGCCTCCTTGTGCACTGTGGGCTGCTTATAGCTTCATTTTGCTGGGCTTGGCCCGTCCTGGGCCTGTTGGGCCTGATTGCAGTAGTGGGAGTACGTGGGTCGGGGGTCCCCGGGCCATATACTCCATCAGGAGTCCCTCACTCCTTTTGCCGAAAGGTACTTGAGGGAAAAGGAGTAAATGTGTTTGTCCTTTGACGTTGGCATTTACCTCGTTGCAGTTCGTAGAGTTCGTAAAGGAGTTTGCGTTTGCATGGTGTACCGAGGGCAGTCCCTCAGTCCCCCACATTTTGGGACTGAAGGACGTTTGATGTTTTGGGAGAAGTTTCTAACATTTTTGTGATTTTCCTGAAGGGGTTCTCTAGTCCCCCACTCCTTGAGGCACATGTAATGTGGTGAAAAGGAGTAGAACAGTGTTTGCCTTCAGTCTAGTACTGTGGGCTTACGCCTTTCGTTTCATTTTGGGGGGATGCCTCGTTAAAAACCTCATTAGGAAAAACCCTGTGGGAAAAAACCCATAATGAGGGAAAAAGAGTGCACCGAATTCCCCCAATGATGAATCGAAGAAGTTAACCCTTGGTCTGAGTATAGTGCTAAGTGCCGAAGGCTATCCGTGATCTGAGGGCTTGCTTGTTAATTCGCCGGAGGCACGTTGTTGGTGTCCGGGGACCTCGAGGGGGGTTCCCCAGTCATTGAGGACTCAGGGCGTGATGACAGCAGATTATAGTTCCTGTTATTCTGAGGGGGGTTCCCTGGTTCTCAACATATGAGGGCTGAAGGTTCCCGAGGGGTTCTCCCATTTTGACGTTGAGGGCTCCTCTTGATGAAGGATTTTGAATACGACAGCCCGAGGGCTGGTCCTCAAAAAATAGCCGTTGGAATATGACCGTTGGAGAGGGCTTCCATGTGGCACGTGCTCGTAGGCTGTCTGCGGGCGGGTGTCACCGGTTGGTTGGAGTGGCGGTTTGCAATGATGGTTTTGGTAGCCGGGGGCCGATATCGGCCCAGGCCCGAAGTGGGGAGTCTATAAATACCCCATGGCCGAACTCCATTTGCCTTTATGCGTTCTTGTTGTAGCGAAGCTCCGGCGAAAATTTTCTAGAGAGAGAAACTCCCTTTCGATCAAACCCTAGCTTTCGAGGTCAGTCCTTGCACCGTTCTTTGTACTTCTTGCATAGTTTTGCTTTTCTGGCCTTAGCTTAAGTGTTAGAAGTCTATAAAAAGCCTTCGGATTTAGAACCCTCCTACTTTTAGTCTCCAAGAATGTCGCCGCATAGTGATTCCCAAAACATCTCTGGAGAGCCTTCGGTACAAGCCGAGAGCTGGTCGGAAGAGGGACCAGCCAGTGGGGAGGCTTCGTCCCAGCATGATTTCATCGTAGCACAGGAGGTGCAGAAGGACCTCGTGGCCGAAGTCGAAACGAGGACTTCGAGCAAGTAATTGAAGGAGGAGAAGGAGCGGCAGAGGGTCACCATAGCCGTCCTTCCTCCGCGTAACGATGGTGAGGCCAGCAGCTCTCGGCCACTAAACCCGGAACCTCTTAGGGTGGCCCCAAGGAAGAAAAACAAGAAGAAGACAGGAGCTCCCAAGAAGAAGGGGAGTGTTGCCGACCAAGGGAAACCCGTCGATCTGCCGGAGGGTTACTCATTTTTGAACACCGCCGCTCTAGATATGAAATCGAGGGCTGATAGGGCGGAATGCTACGTCACGCAGTTGCACGTTGGGCCCTCAACTACAGTGATAGAGCCAATCCCTGATGATGTTTTGTCCCGGGCTCCCGAGGGCAGCATTGCGGTTCACATCCTCTCAGTGTCAATGGGCCTTCGGTTCCGATTGCACCCCTTCCTCCTTGAATACCTCAGGTTCGTTGGCTTAGCCCCCTGCCAACTTACCCCCAACAGCCACGCGTACATCACTGGCTTCCTGAACCTTTGTCGGTCCCGAGGGGTGGCTCCCAGCCTTGACTTATTTTTCCAGAGCTTCAACCTCTGTTGGGGAGGTCATGTGAATTCTGAGGGCTTTCCGAACCTCCAGCAGATTGCCCGTTGGAGGCTGTTCACAGAGGCACCCTTGTCGCACAAAAGGTGGAAGAACCGGTTTTGCTATGTCAGGCTGGCCGCAAATCCATTTCCGAGGGAGTTGGGGATCGTTTCAGACAGCACGAAAAAGTGAAGAGTGCCGCTCTCGAGAAGGATGACAAAAGCTTGCCAAGATCCCAGAGGGGCGTGAGAAGAATGTGACGATCAAGGAGTCCACTCTCGAGGAGGATTTGTATCTCCTTGGCCTCCGGCGCTACCATTTCCTGGGGGAGATGGATGAGAAGTACCCCGTCCTTGATCGAGCCTTCGAGAGTACAGGAGGTAGTATCCCGAAGGCGCCGATTTTTTGTACTTAGAAATTTTTGTTGTAGTTTAATTCTTGTTCATGTCCGCGATCCCCTGGTCTTACATTTGCGTTGTCTTTGCAGGTGCCATAATGGATGTGAGGAATTTTGCTGGCCTTTTGAAGAAGTCGACGAAGGATCAGAAGAAGAAGGAGACGGGCACCCACAATCCCGTCGATGAATTCTTCCCGAGGGATGATGGGCCCTCGGATGTCCCGGTTGATGTTGCTGCTGCCGCAACAGAGAGGAAGGCGGTGGGCAAAGGTGTTGCCCCCATCGGAAAGAAGCCGAAGGAGGGGGAGACCGGGAAGAAGGCTCCCCCGGTTCTAATCGTCGATGAGCACTCAACCTCTGAGCCTCTGGTCATGGCTACGACGGTTGCATCCAATCCCCCTTCGAGAGACTTCCCCCAAGAGACCGTGCAGTTCTCCCTTGTCAAGGGCACCGCTGTGATGCACGACACAGTTGAGCCGAAGGCGTTCCTGAGGGGCATCACTTCGGAGATGGATAGGGCAGCCCTTGGCACCTACGATGATGATGATGCCCTCAAGAACAAGATCCTCCGGTCTTCTCTTACTGTAAGTCCCTTCCCTTTGTTCCCTTCTCACCCACTTAGCATATTTTGAACAATAGAGTAACTTCTTCATTTGATTGATTGTAGGCTTGCGTTGCCCTCGGCGAGCAGGCCCGGAGGGTTGGGGAGTTGCGTCGTGAGAAGGCGCAACAGGATGAGCACCTGAGGAAGCTTGTGCACGACAACGCCGACGCCGTGAGGCAGATGGCGAAGTTGGAGGAGGACCTTCGGCAAGCGAAGGCTGAGGCCGAAAGAGCCAAGGGGGAGAAGGCCGAAGCTGAGAAGGTCGTTGTCGAGGAGGCGGAGGTTGTCAAGGCGGAAGCCGTCGCCAAGGCTCGGGAGGATGTCGTTGCTGCCTTTCTTGCGGAGGGGTGGAAAGCTGAGGGCCGGAAGGAATGGGTGGCCTCGGTAGTAGAAACCTCAGTGGATGCCTGTGTGAAGGGCCCCGGGGGTTGAATGGATGGCCCGGAAGGGCAAGGAATATTACGAGGGTGGCGAGTATTTCACCCAACCCTCGTCTATCGGAGGCTCGCCAGGCATCTCCAAATTGATCCAGAGAAGTTTGAACCGGCGGCGTATGGCCTTCCCCCTTGCAACCAGACGTTCGTGTTCCCCTCCCCCGGATGCAGAGAGACTGGTTCTTGAAGACTCCGTGCTGATGGCAGAGGCACCGGATGCTGATGAAGAAGCCGGAGGAGACATTTCCTCGAAGCCTGTCGAAGAAGGTGCTGTCGGGGCTCTCGATCCATGATTTGTACTTAGTCGATTTGGTGAACAATTTTTCTGTAATGTAATGTTTTGTAGCTTTCGGCTTTGGCTTTCATGTAACAGACAATTAACATTATCCTCCTTTTGTTTAATGTATGCCTGCCTTCGGGTTTTTGAATTTTATTCTTTTCTCCCCTTGGATGAATGTCTTCATTTTCCTTCTTTATGCCTTTTCCATAGTTGTATGATAGTACGTTCGCATGGTGATTTGGCAGAGGGCCAAACTTTTAGGACTTAGAAATTTTTTCTAGGTGTTGTTCACCACTTGGCCCTCGGTGGACATCACCTTTTATCTGTAGGGAATAGTTAGCCTTCACCTTAAACTCCTGGGGGGTCCGGTGTTGTGGACTTAACCAAATTTTGGCCAGTGTTATGAGTACGCCCTCGGTTGACATCTTTCTTAGCGCGGGGCGCCCTCGGTCACTGTGGTTTTAGGTTAAATATCCCTTAGCATAGCGTGGTGGTGCCGGGGGCACTCAACTAGTGGACTTAGAAAAATTTCCTTTGACTTCGCAACTAGTAGCCCTCGGTAGAAACTTGGAACTAGTTGATTTTTGACCCATTCGTAGAATAGGAGCTTCCGGTATTGATTGTAGTGCCGGAGGCTATTAGAGTGTGGATTTAGGCAATTTGAGCCCATGTCAATGAGTAGTCACCTTCGATAGTGTATAGTGAGCACCTTCGATCTTTGTTGAGTAAACGTGCCTTTGGGTTTGGTGGTCCCCCCCCAACTAGAGCCTTCGGGGGTAACGTTTGGAGGGTGGTGCATTGCGAGATGTCACGAGTTGTTCGAGAGCCAAAGATTTAGGACTTAGAAAACTTTTCTAAGTGTTGTTTACCCCTAGGCCCTCGGTTAAAGCCCCCTTTTAGGTGTATGAAATAGAGTGGTCTTCGCCTTAGGCTCCTGGGAGGCCCGGCATTGTGGACTTAAAAAATTCCCATGGCCCTTGCAGCTAGTAGCCGTCGGTATAAACGTGAGGTTAGCTGATTTTGACCCACTTGTATGAAAGGAGCCTCCGGTGTTTATTGTAGGGACGGAGGCTGCTGTTGCTTGGACTTTAACCAATTCGACCCCTTTGTAAGATTTGCGCCTTCAGTATCCCTGGATGCCGGAGGCAACCAGATTGTGGACTTGGCCTCATTTTGGTAACACCTGTTGAATAGTAGCCTTCGGAATAAGGGCCATTGTAAAAGGTGACTTCCTGAATAAGAGCCTTCGGCATAGCCTGGACTGCCTTGCGAGAAGTATTCTTGCTAGCCGCCGATGGGTTTTTGTTGTGAATTTATACTCATTGATTGCTCGTTGAGTCTACTCCCCTTCACCCCATTTTTTTTATAGTGAAGGGAAGGCTTCAAGAAACTTGGTTTCTTGGTAAGGCTTGGCCTATCGGGAGGCAACGATATACACTGTTGGCTCTCCCCCGGGGATTAACCTTCTGGGTTCCGAGGGGATCGAGGGTCGTTTCCTTGGCACGAGACATAATCTGTTGTCTGCCTCCCCTTAGGAGACAGCACGGAAAGCGCGTCAGTTTTGAAAGTCGTTCCCTCACCACGAGATATGGTCTGTTACAAGCCATTCCCTTGGGGTAATGGCACGGGAAGCGTTTCGTTTTTGAAAGTCGAATCCTGGGCATATTAGGTTCCTGCCATTCCCTTGGGGTAATGGCGCGGAAAGCGTTTCAGGGAAGCGTTTTATTTGCATATTAGTTGCAAATGGCCGGGGCACTTGGTACCTCTGGCACCGATAGGTGGCACCTTCGGTAGAGGTGCGTCCTCGAGGGGTACAGCTTTTTTAAAACACTTGATGTTATTTCTCACACATTGCCCCTGGTACTTCGTATCGAGGGGTATTCTTTAAAACACTTGGTGTCTCCTTGTTCGCAGTTGATAGGAGCGGCCACCCTCGGCACTTGGTGCCGAGGGGCCTTGCTTGAGATAAGGCCTTGGGCCAAGAGCTTGTACGAGGGCTTGGCCGCTCACAAGCGTTTTGTTCTTTGTACTTGGTGAGTTCTGAGGGCTTGACCGCTCTAACATCATTGATAAAATTTAACCAGGTGGTGTACATTCCAATGTTGAGGGACCTCAGTCCCATTGGGGCGTTTGAGTTTGTAAGTCCCTGGCTTGATGATGGCCGCAACGATGTAGGGGTCTTCAAACTTTGGTGTCATCTTGCCACCCTCGATTGGTTGGCTAGCTTCCCTCCTTCGGAGCACGTAGTCCCCCACTTGAAATTCTCCGGAATGAACCTTGGCATCAATGTAGCCCTTCACTTGTCTTCAGGAGTTTTCAGCCTTTAGGAAGGCTTGCTCTCGGCGTTCTGAGATCAGGTGAAGGTCGAGGGCCATGTTGGCATCGTTGACGTTAGGCTCGTATTGGTCTACCCTTCGGGTAGGAAGGGTTACCTCAGTGGGAGCTTTGGCCTCAAATCCATAGCAAAGGGAGAAGGGCGTTTCACCTGTTGCCCATCGAGGGGTGGTGCGGTAGGCTCATAGGATATTGTGAAGCTCTTCTACCCAGTCTCCCCCTTCGGCATTCAGTTTCTTTTTTAGGCCCTCAAGTAAAGTTCGGTTGGCGTTCTGCACTTGACCGTTGCCCTGAGGGTAGGCAATGGACGAGAAAGTATGTTTGATACCCCATGCCTCTAGGAGGGCACAGAAGGGGGCATCTTCAAACTGAGTCCCGTTGTCGGAGATGATTTGTTGGGGGACGCTAAATCTCGTGAGGATGTTCTTGAGGACGAAGTGGCGGCACCTGGCCTCGGTAATGCTGGCGAGGAGCTCAGCCTCCACCCATTTGGTGAAGTAGTCGATGGCCACGATGATGTACCTTTTGTTGGAGGTACCCCTTGGCAGTGGGCCTACAAGGTCAATGCCCCACCTGGAGAAGGGGATTGCCGTGTTGATGGGGGCGTAGTTAACTGCTTGCCTTCTGGGGGCCTTCTGAAAATGTTGGCATGTGGCGCATTTTCGGGTGAGGTCCGCACAGTCCCGGGCCATCGTAGGCCAGAAGTAACCTTGCACAATGAGCCTTCGGGACATGGAGAAGGGCCCTTGGTGGGCTGAGCAAGTGCCACTGTGTACTTCCTCCATACCAACTTCGTCTTCATCTTGATGAAGGCACCGGAGTAATGTACCGTTATAAGATCGCTTGTAAAGCCTCCCGTCTTCAATGGTGTAGCTGGGAGCCCTCGGCTTTGCCAGTTTGGCGCGGGTTTTATCCTCGGGCAGCTGCCATGTGGAGATGAAGTTCACGATATCTGATATCCAGTCCTCAAGCCTTTGTTGTATTTGCATGATGGGGCTGGCGTGTATGCTTGAGAGGCTGAGTTCCTCTATCCTCGCAATCTTTGAGAGGTGCTCTGGGGATTCAGCTGATAGCTTGGATAAGATGTCGGCCTCAGAATTTTGAGCCCTCGGTATTTGAGTGAGAGAATGCGCCTCAAATACCTTAAGCAACTCCTTTGCCGCTTCCTTGTACTGTTTCATTCTTCCTTCCTTGGCCTCATATTCCCCTGAAATTTGGCTGACGACTAACTTGGAGTCTCATATTCACATGGATCTATCTGGCCTTCATGTTAGCTGCCAGCCGAAGGTCACAGAGGAAGGCCTCATACTCCGCTTCGTTGTTGGAGACTTTGAAGGAGAAGCGGATGGCATAGTAGGCGCAGAAGCCTTCGGGCCTAATGAGAACTGTTGCATCGGGTAAGAGTATTGAATAATAATGCCCTCTCTAATCATTAATGCTTCTTTTGATTTAAAAATTATTTCATGCTTCCTTTGATTTTAAAATTATCTCACAATAGAAAATGTTTAATTTCTTAAACTATAATTTATGTGAAAACAGTTTCAATTACTACGGGCTCAGTGATCATCGTTCCAGTTACTACCGTTCCGGTGATCAACGTCTCAATTATTAGCGCCCCAGTTACTAACGCTCAGTTACTACCGTCCCAGTTACCACCGCTCAATGACCACTACGTTTCAAACTTCAGTTACTGCCACTCTAGTGCATCATGCAAATTACTACCGCTCCATTAAACACCGTCATGGCATCATAGTTACTATGGCTCCAGTGATCAACGTTATAACGAATTGACCTGTCATAGTGTCCACCATTATAGTGAGTTGACCCGACATAGTGACCACCGTCCAGTAACCAAAGTCCGTCCGTCCAGTGACCAATGTCCCCCATCCAGTGACCGACATCCCCCATCCCATGACTCAATGACGCCCGCCACCCCGGCGGTGACCATAACCGCCCACTGCCACCAGTCCAGCCCCACCACCACCAGTCCAGCCCCACCACCACCAACCCAACCCCCTTGTCCCCAACTCAGCCCTCCAAGCCCCCTTCCTAGCCACATTATCGTTGTCCTTGAACCTCACCAAACTGTTGTTGCCCTAGAGCCTCATTTGCATCGGCGTGACGGTGTCGCACTGGAACCTCAGCCACACTGTCGTCGCCTCAGAGCCTCAACCGCGTCAGCGTCGCACTGGAAGCTCAGCCACACCACCGTCGCCATGAAATCCCAATCAACAATTAGCGTAGAAGATAGGGTTGCGGGAGAGAAGAAAAGAGAAGAAGTGGAGACGAGTTGCAGCGGCAGAGGAGGAGTTGCAACGGCGGTGTAGGTCTTGTTGTCGTCTTCGCAGAGCTTCATACCTAAATTTCAGAGCTCCACCACTCAGATCTGAAAGAAGAAGACGGTCGGTCCTCTGTGGCGACGGACGATGAGGCAATGACGAGTAAGAGGGGATGTCCGTAGGTTATTTTGGTGGCAGCGGAGGTGAAGCCAGGTCATCGCTGAAGTTTCATAGCTTACCTGGAGATTTGTTGTACTGCTGCTTCAATTTTCAGAAATGCGTGAAGGCATATGGAAGACAATGACCAAAACTGGGTTAAGCATTTGGGCTGAAATCAATTTACAGGGGTAATTTTGACAACTTTTCCCTTTTTAATCTCTTTTTAGTCCACCGTAGGATAGGTCCTAATTTTGTCCAGTTAAAATCCTCGAGTAATATTTTAGTCTTTTTTTGTAATTAATATTGTCTAGAATTTGTCACGCATAATATGTATCCGACGCATTTTTGTCGAAGATGAATCGTTAGAATAGTTTACCCACAACACCATTATCTTTCAAGATTTAGAAAGCAAATCGGAGATAATTGTTGCTAAAAATATTTGCATTATCATAAATATTGGTAAAATTTATCTAGTTGAACAAAAAAATTGAAAAATCAATAAATGTATGTAAAGTTAGGCTACATACATTTAATGTATATGCACAAACATCGATTTGTGTGTCTTTTTTACAGATACACTCGTGTCTATAGCACAAAAATTGATGTCTTTGCAAAAACATTAGTCGTATGTTATGGACAAAAAATGCTTGAGATAAGTGTAAAAATATAGACAATTTTCACGTTTCATTTACAACGGCCTAATGATTAATGAATGCACAAACATTTATTTCTATGCCACAAACAGTGGCCTAATTTTAGAGATATGTACTAGCTTCTCAATTTTTTGCGAATCCTAAATGACTGAAGATGAAGTGGGGAAAATGAAAATTTGCGCAGACAGTTATGATGGAAAATGATAATGATGGAAGATGACCTGAAGGTGGAGGAGATGAAGCTCAAAGAAAATAGAAAGAAGAATAGTGGGTGGGAGGAGAATGACTAGTAAAATATAAAAATGAAATATTAGAAATATAATGTACCGTTTTGTACCGTTCTGAAACAACATTGTACCTATTTCCATCCTTAGAAGCGGACCGTAGTGAATCGTTAGAAACCTCACGAGTACATTACGAGTTCTACTAATTTACCGGATCATTTCTGCGACCACCCTAAAAAATGATGTATGACAATGAAAGTGAAAATTTAATTATAAAAAGTACAAAGTATGTTGAGTAAAATATATTAGCTGTAGTGAACTAATGAACTGTCATTCATCTTCTTACTCAGACAACCGTGTCGAACACATTCCTCCACACTCGCTCTTTCTATTCATTTGTATAATGGCCAACAGAGACGACCCTCTTTCTTTCATAATCAATCCCCTAACGTCCTCTTCCTCTCCTCTGGCCGCCTCAGACGCTGATAGCTACCTTCTGGATGGCTCTCAGATTGGAAGCGCCTCCGGGAGTTTCCAGAACGAGGGTTTTCTCGGCGGCCTCGATGTTGCCGGCGGGGGAGACGCCGAGTTTGGCTTCTCCCGTCCCGATTTTAGGCAGAGCCCACTTGTTGGCACCGTAGAGTTTTATGAGCGCCACGTCTTCCTCTGCTACAAGAATCCTCAGGTCTGGCCTCCCCATATCGAGGCCACTGAGTTTGATCGCTTGCCCAGGCTTCTGGCTGCTGCACTTTCAGCTCGAAGGACGCATATGAATCGAGAGGTATGCTGCATTTATTTTTTCATCTACTCTGAATCCGTTCAATTAGGATTCTTACTCCATCAATTGCAGCTTCATCTGTGATGGTTCAGTTGATCTAGAGGTTTTCTACATGGAAAATGTTGTTGCTTCCTTCATTAAAAAGATATTGTGTTGCACTTGGAGCTTTACTCGCTGCAAATCTTCTTGATACTCCTTCTAGGTTGATGATGTGTATGTTAGTTATTGTACCAACTAACTTCACAGCTGCAATCTTTAGGCGGGTGCTTAATTATTTTAGTTTTCCTTACAAAGAAAACGGGAAGCAGGTATTAAGTGTATATGGTCCTTAAAGATTCAACTTCTGTTTCATCTTGAGTAAGGTGAAACACATGATATCCAAAAATAAGGTTTTAGAATGAAGTGAAACAAAGATAGTGTAGCTTACACCAGCAGTTCCTTGAGGTATTACAATTTTTTTACTCCGTATCATTTACATGCTCTATTTTCTCCTAGATTTTATTTTTTGCAAGACGAGTACTGATAAAATATTTTTATCAGGTAAGCTAACACCAGTGTATAAAAACTTCATGTATTATCAAGGAACATCCACCTGTTTTGCAGCTTAAGTCATTTCACTTTTCTGATAGAGAATAGAGATGCTATGCTTCATTTTTGTCTGTTTACCTGCTCGATTCTTTACATTAGCCATTCTTTCATCTATCTTATTTATGTGTTTCTTTGTTTATTATAATTATTTGTAGATATCCTGAACCATGATTTTTACTTTCCTTTTTCTTTTCACTTCCAGACCCGCTTGACCATATGTGAAGGACATGATGGAACTGAGACATCAAACGGGGATGTGTTAATCTTTCCAGACATGATCAGATACAGGTTAAGACACTAAGTGACTGATATATGATTAACTTGGATGTTTAGTTTCATTCCCGGTTCTTAAGCCCTTGTTTGATTGTGGGATTTCGGATGGGAGGAAGGGGTGGGCGATAATTTATTTTATTACTAAGTTATTCTTTTATTTAGATGGTCGGAAAGAAAGTGAAAATAAAAAAAGTTCATGATATAACTACACATATATCTATTATAACTAGACATATTCATCATCATCACTACCTCAGTGCCGCAAAGGCTACCACCTACGATAGGGTAAGGGGGGCTCAGATGCACGCAGTCTTACCCCTATACTAAAGCACAAAGAGACTGTTTCCGGATGACCCGGAGTGAAAATTGAGTCCAAAATTGCTTGGACTGAGACAAAATTGCGTCCAAAATTCCGGATATAAAAATATAGGATTTAACTAAACATATACCTAGTTTTTGGTCGAAGAGACTAAGACAATGAGACAAGTAAAGAGAAAACAACAACATTCAAGCCTTAATCCCAAAAGATTTTGGGGTTGGCTAACATGAATAGATCCATGATAATACTTCCCTCTCTTCACCTCCAAAATCCCCTAAGGCCCCAACCAAACTAGCCTTAAAATATTATTATCTAATACTACATACCCAACTAACCTTTAGAGTTTATTATCTAATAAATACTGCAGGAGATTGACTCATTTTGATGTGGATACATTTGTTGAGGAGGTACTTGTGAAGGGTGGTGTATGGTTGCCTGGAACTCCAGAAGCTCTTAGGGGATGGTATATTTTTGTATGCTGTCATGGTACAAGGGATCGCCGGTCTGGTTATTGTGGCCCACCTATAGTTAATAGATTTAAAGAGGAGATTGAGTTGCGTGGTCTTAGAGGTAAAGTGTCGGTCAGCCCATGCTCACACATTGGTGGCCACAAGTATGCTGGAAATTGCATCATATTTGGACCTAGTGGTAGCAAGGAAGTCACTGGGCACTGGTGAGGATCATCTTTCCATCAATACAATTTCTATTCTCATTCAAATTGCATCGCAAACAATATTGAGTTACAATTGTTTGACATGTTATCATAGGTATGGGTATGTGTCTCCAGATGACGTCCCTACCTTGCTTGAGCAGCATATTGGAAAAGGAGAACTTGTTGATCTTATGTGGAGGTAAATATCTTCAAGTACTACGTTTGTGTTGTGTACTCGATGAACCACAGACTATTTCTCTTTCAGTGTGTCTAACTGTTTTAGCTAGAGTGGAGTTTCGTGGCATCCTACAGTGTAGTTCTAATATTATTATTTCCCTTCAAAATATTGTACCAGTAGTATTTTAAGTGGTTTAAATTTGAGTTATTAAACTCTTGCAAGTTACACTTAAGTGATGAACTACTTTTTAGGCTGGTCTAGTCATCGTAGATGTAATGTCAATTTTTATTACCCAATTGAGTCATTCGACTATACACTATTACTCAATTTGTTCCCTGTCATTCTTATGACTCAATTAGGTCCTCCTTCATGCAATTTAGATTCTCGATTTAGTCCTCACTCATATGAAGGGGTAATTAAGAGGGGTATTATTCGTACTCAAGTGGCCAAATTGGGTCCAAATTGCATAGCTGGGGACCAAATTGAGTCCCTATCTTGGGTCTAAATTTAGAAAACAGATGAAAATACCCTTGTTATTTAGAACTAAATATCTAAGGAGTTAGTGTACATGTGCATATTTTGTGATCATTGGGTGATGAAAGTTAGGTAGTTTTTTCATCACCCGAAATTAAGTAATACTACGTATTGTTTTAGTATCTAGTTGAGGGACTAAATCAGGTATAAGTATTCCATATTCTATGGTAAAAAACCGTTGCTTATTTATTTGGAGTATTTTAGGTAAATTTAAAAGCATGCCAACTTTAGCCGTACTTTTTTACGAACGAGGCAGGGAAGGGTTCAGACTATGCTATGAATTTGACAAACATACGCTTTAAGTGAAGATGTGGGAGATATTCTCAATTTTTATCAAGGGCAATATTGGGGTTTCCTAAAATCCCTCTTCCCATGGCTTTATTCAAATTTTTGCGGATGGACTCGTAGTACTTCCGTGTTGTTTTCAGGGGACAGATGGGACTATCAGAAGATGACCAAGAAAAGTCACAGAGGCTGAGGCTCCAAGTTAACGGCGGCAGTCCAATCGCACAGACGATCAACGGCATGTGTGGATCTCAGACTGATCTTGGCACAGAGTGTTGCCAGTCGAATGGAAGCTTTCTTTGTTGTCAGAAGAAGGCTCCATTGTCGGAGCAGAGAAGCAATTCTGCTCATGATGACGAAGCGCCGAATTTTAAGTTTGAAAGCATTAAGAGCTCGAGGAAACAAAACAGGGGCCGCAAAGGTTCTCATGTACGCAAAGTATGCTCGATCCCTTCGTGGCGTGAAACCTGGGAACGAGAAGATACATATGCCGTTCTTGCTGTTATTGGCGCTGCCATGTCAGTTGCCTTTGCATACAATTGCTACAAACAATTGAAGTAATTAGTTTACCCATTTGTCACTTTTCTGTGTTACAATCTCAGTGTGTCGAAAGAAATTCTTTAGTTGTGATGTAAATTTAGACTGTTATTGTCCCGTGTACAATACAAACGCACTGAATTCTGTAATTCGTCTATTTGTATATCCAATTCAATTTATGCTCAGCCCTTGTTTGGTTAAGGAAATTCAAAGGAGAGGGAAGGGTGCTCATTTGACTAGCTGGGGAGAAAGTGAAGATTAATAATCATAGAGCAGTTTGTGTTATGCATCACAACCATTACTCCGTATTAACTTTATACATCAACCTTTTTACTTTCTTTGACTTTGCAGCATAGAACGCTATGGGAAAGTCAAATATTATATGGTAAATCATGAAGTGAAAAGCTAAATGCAAATTACTCGCTTGGGAGTGGTAAACTTTTCGGTGTGATCTAAAACTAAGAAATACATTTGCATGAACAAGAATAACTGTGGGAATGGCATTCTCCTCGATCTGCATAGAATAACTGGGTTGTCAACATTGCGTATGGCTCAACGTACAGAAGAAAGACATAATTGAATTGCTTGCCAGAGAGTAACCGTCGATCGGCTGAAGCTGTTATGGTCGATGGCTAAATCTGTCCACTACAGTGTTGAAGATGGATGCAGCAGCCCGGGCCTGGAGGTGGGGAGGGGGAGGGCGTGGGTGTCTCAGGCAATCAATAAGCCTCCAAAGGCATCTGCACATGGGCCGACACCATGCTATGATAATCCCAATTTGTGCAATTACTCCCCCGGTGAACACAATTATGCCCATCGGCTCCATCTTCTTCCTTTTCTTCTTCTCTTATTATATGCTATAAGATATTGTGTTATACGAATCCAGAATGGAGGGCTAAAATAGTGGAGGTGGTGGGAAGTTTTCTTCAGTAACGCTCTAGCTATGCATTAATTTGCTGTATTAGTTTCTCTTCCACATTCATTGTATTGGTTTTGCTGTAACATGAACTTTGTTGCCCTGTTTACGCCCTGATTACTCTTCTCCCTTCTCAAAAATAAGCGAACAAACAAATAAATAAATTCAATGGCTTCATCACTGCTGGAAGGCAATGCATGTTTTGTACAATACTCGAGTAGGATACATTGATACAATGATGAACAATTGAATAGTTTCATAAAAAATTATACTCCCTATTTTCGATCTCTCCAATAATTGGAACCGAAACTTTTTTATATCGTGATCATTTGTCCTCCAAAAGAGTAACGACTCTCTTCGTGAGTTCTTTACCACTCATGAAACATCGTTATGTTGAATATTCTAAGATGCAGATCCAAATAGTGGGTCGGTGGTCAAAAGAGAACACACAAATTAAGAACACAAATAGATTAAATGATAAAAGTAGGACAAGTTTTTATTTTGGACAAAAAGTGACTAATATAAAATGAAATGTCTCATATGCCCCCATTAATTACATCTCACCGTGAAACACCAAAGCTCATCTATCAGCATCCTCATCGTGCAAGTCAACGACCTTTCTTCTATGGCTTGCAACATTCGATAATCAACGGCGACTCCACCGGCGCAAAGGTGACTCCACCAATGTTGACAACGACCTCAATGCCGGTGATGTCATCCAATTAGTTCCCCTGTTCTCCTTCTCTGATCGAGTCCGACAAGTAGAAGCATTTTCTTCTTATTATTCTTCTTCCGGCCTGAATCAGGCTATAGGGGTGAGGTGACAGGTGCGACAGGGTTACTAGGGCGGTGGACAATTGGGATAGCATGTCACTAAGGCATAAATCACTGTGCGTCGAGGTCACTGTTGTACTGCGGTTATAAAGCCCATATTGGTTTTTTAAAAATCTAGTATGTTTATGTCCATATCTTTTCCATTAAATTTATACTCCGTATATGTTAAAACTCCAAATAGATATAGATAGAGCTTAAAGGTAAACATTTATGGTTGATGAGAGGATAAAATAAATGAAAACAAATTTACTATGTGATAGAGTATATTCTAGAGAGAGGTGAGAGCTGGAGAGAGAAGTGCAAGTAAATGCTTCAATAAATGATTTTCCAACCCCCACAACTACTCCCAAAGGGAGTATTTATAGGGGAAATACGGGCTGGGCTCCCAAGCCCAAGGCTTGGGAGGCCCATTTACAACTGTACCGCTATTGAGCCGAATACAATGTGTGTATAAATGATTAAGTGTAAAATCTAGTTCTGTGAGGCTTCCGTGGCCGACGAGGGTCTGGCTGACGAGGGCACGGCCGATGAGGGCACGACTGACGGGGTCACCCAAGTTCCCTGGCTTCAGGATCATATTCTGAGTTGGTCCCTCTTCGGCCGACGGGGCTCCTTTGGCCGACGAGGGCACCACTTAGTGGCTTGTACTTTCTGTTCTTCTGAGTATGTGGGTCCTGGGGCCTAGACCCATATACTCCATCAGGAGTCCCCCACTCTCTAAGCTGACATGTAGACGAAGTGAAGGAGAGTAGATTTCTGTGTTTGATGCTCTTGGCCGACGTGGGACCACGTTGGCCGTTCTCTATCGTGGCGTTGGTGGCCCTGTTCTGAGTTTGGCCGTTACCTGCCCCCTTGATATGGACATGGAAGACTGTTATTCCTTTGGTGCGCTTGTTTGTGGACGATGAGTGTTCTGGCATGAGTGGCCGAGGAAGGTAGTGTCTATCCTTTCTTGATCGTTGATGGTTGAACTTTCCTTTTGGGCTGATGAGGCCGTTGGGGTTGCATCTTGTTTTGCTGTGCACTCCTTTTGGCTGTCGTTGATGACACCATGTGCCTTTGGACGACAAGGCGCCATATTGCCCAAGGGTTTGGGGATGATAGCAGTGTCTGGCCGGAGATGGAGTTATGAGGACCTTGGAACCGTTGTGGTACATGGACGATGTGGCCGTGCTTGTAGTCGCAATTGTGTACTTTGTGCATTTTTGTTTCTCATTTTGCTTGAGATTCTTGAGGCCGGTGTAGTCCCCCAGTCCCCCACTGCTTCAGGCCGAAGAGCGTGAGGGGTGAAGGAGTAGTTTGAGTCCCTGGCCGATGCGGTATCTCCGTAGTGCCCCTGAATCCAACCCTTTGGCAATTTCCTGGCCAAGGTAACCCTATGGGAGAACCCTTGGGCGCAGATCGCTTGCAAAGGGTTATCATCGGGGGTCGTTACGTAGACCGATGGCCGCGGGTTCTTTACTTCTTTGATTCTGTGGCCGTTAAGTGCGGGTGTGATACTCCTAGCCGCTGTCATGTCCTTGTTGCTGTGATCGGGGCCATTGGATGCCTTGGCCGTTGCGGGCTCTTGCTGGGGTTTGTTGGCGCCGAGGGGTGTTTCATCCCCGGGAGCCGTAGGCGGATACATGGCTTGCTCATGTGTAGCGGTTGAATGTGTTGGCCGTTGTGGGCGTTGTTTGTCCGCGTGAACCGTAGGGTTTGCCTCACCATTGGGCTGGTTCGTGGGCCTGGCCCATTGTCGAAGGGGTGGCACCTCATTGGCTTTTGAGGTGGTGACCGTTGATGTGGCCACTGGGGTGGTGCCACGTGTAGTGACCGTTGGGGGGAGGTCTCTCAATGAAAGCACCATTGATGGATTATAGGGTATCCAAACATGTATAAAATGGAGAGATTGAGCTAGATAATTGGAGAAGAAGATGAATAGTAGAAATGATATTGTGTATGAATTATGAGTTAGGGTTTACAAGCTCCAAAAGGAGTATATATAGAAGAAATCCGGGTCTGGGTCTCTAATATGGGCCTGACAGACCCAGTTACATAAATGGACTCATAATATAAAAGGCTAATCTAGAACACCTGAATAATAATAATGTACAATAATGAAAATGTTATCAACTGAGTGTACGCGGGCCGCTGTCCGGGCCCAATAGTCTTGAGACCCAGGGGTCCGAGTCTATATACTCTATCAGGAGTCCCCCACTCCCTGAGTCGAGAGTACTCGAGGCGAAAGGGAGTAGAACTGTGTGCTAATTTGTCATCTTCTGGTGAGTAGACTTCGTGAAAAATTTTGAGACGCGAAGTCCCCCGCTCTTCCAGTCCCCCACTCCTTGAGGTGAATGTAGTGAGGTGAAGAGGTGTAGAGTAGTGCATGTCTCGTGATGTCTTCAATAGGGGGCCGAAGGTCTACACCTTTTGATCCACAATGGGGAGATGCCTCGTTAAAAACCTCATTAAGAAAAAACTCTGTGCGAAAAAAACCTAATGAGGGAAAAAGAGTACACCGGATGCCCCCAAAATGAAGCAAAAGGGGTGAGCCCTTTGGCCTAGGTGTGGAGCTGCAACGGTGTCCGTCTCCTGAGGGGATGGCCGAGACCAGTCTCTAGATGTGAGCAGCTCGGCATGATAAGTAGTCCTAGTCATCAAATAAAGATGACTAAGAGATAGGTCGAGTGACCGTCCATAATATGATGTCCGGGTCATCAAATAAAGTGACCGAGACGTGTGGCCGAGAGGTCTATAAGAAGTCCAAGCCATCAAATAAAGATGACCATGAGAGACGACTAAGTGGCCGGTATGATGTCATCATATAGTTGCACCTATGCATTCAAATAAAATTGTTATAATTTCTTGAGCTTATAATTTGCTATTGGATTTGGGCCTAAATTAAGTTGCCTCAAATTTCCAAGCTGCAGCTCAAGCTAGATTTCTATGCTTAGTTGGAGCGTGGCACGCATAAAGGACTGAACCTACCGCTGAGGGATTGCAGTTCATTTTCGATAGCTAGAGGCACACATAACTCATACAAAACATAGAAACTAAAGTATGTATTAGATAACATTTGGATTGGGAGCTTACTATCCACACTCGTTTGACGTGACCCGGTGGCGCGAGTGTGTGTGCTCGCCCGGTGTACGCGAGTGCTCGGAATTTAATAAGTCCGTTTTTTCAATGTCAAAAAATACACACTATTTAAAAATAAATAATGATACTAAATTAATAATATAGATCAACTTATCACTCAAGTTCGTAGCTGGGATCCGCTAGACGCTATTTACGGGTCTTTTCACGGACGACTCGCCCCTCGAGATTGAAGTTTGATGCTATATTATTAAAATATTTCATTTATGATTTTTTTTGTAATCATCGTATCAAATATGTTCACTTATCAATTCCATGGAGGGGAATTAGGAGTACTTAGCTTTTTCTTGGGCTGAAGTAAATGGTGGGCTGCTTGGGCTGATGAAATGAATTGGGTCATCACTCTATTATATTGGGCAACTCCAAAAATGGATTGACCTAGTTGATGGGAATCCAACTTTCACGGAAGGGAGGAGGCAGCTTGTCGGCAGGCAAGATTCCAAGTAGCACACTGCTACTGTAGTTAATCTAGGGATCAACCAGCAGCGAGGATGATGAAGCTTATTCAGATGGAGACTCATACCTTCATCAAGCAGATCCGGCAGCAGAGAAAAATTGGCCAGGAGCAAGCTCACTCCTGGTAGCGCCGGCGAAGCTTCCTCAGCGCCGGTGACGCACGATAGGCTCTTCAAGTTGATTCAGCAGTGGATTTCCGATCTTTCACTCCTGGAGCTCTCAACGAGAGCACCAAATGATAGAGTATATTCTAGAGAGAGGTGAGAGCTAGAGAGAGAAGTGAAAGTAAATGCTTCAATAAATGATTTTCCAACCTCCACAACTACTCCCAAAGGGAGTATTTATAGGAAAAATACGAGCTGGGCTCCCAAGCCTTGGACTTGGGAGGCCCATTCACAACTGGACCGCTATTGGGCCGAATACAATGTGTGTAGAAATGATTAAGTGTAAAATCTAGTTTTGTGAAGCTTCCGTGGTCGACGAGGGTCTGGCCGACGAGGGCACGACCGATGAGGGCACGACCGACGGGGGCAACCAAGTTCCCTGGCTTCAGGATCATATTCTGAGTTGGTCCTTCTTCGGCCGACGGGGGTCCTTTGGCCGACGAGGGCACCATTTAGTGGCTTGTACTTTCTGTTCTTCTGAGTATGTGGGTCCTGGGGCCTAGACTCATATACTCCATCACTATGCTCTAACAAAACAGTGAGTAGACAAGGAATAGCCATCAGAGAAACCTAAAAAACATTATTATTTAACCTCTGAAGGGAGGAATTAAGTGTTTTTTATACTTGGTTTGTATAATTGTTTGTTTTGTAGTATAAAAGTAATTATCAATATAGTGATATGGCTGTATATTAGGGTAACCTATTTGATAGTTTTCCATTTTATATATGAAGAGTTTATTAGTGTTTCACTATATACATCAAAATTTACAATCTTATAATTTGTCATTTGATTTCAATAACTATGAACTTGTAAAAGTAAGCACATCATTGGACTATCAAATTTGTTGGTAGAAAATATCCTGGGTAGAGAAATTAGCATCATTTCAATACAGTAAAATAGCGTAGCAAATACATGGGGGTTTGATGGCCTATTTATAGGCATCCATCATAAGTCCAAAGTCTAAACTTCGTGGGCTTGGCCCATTTTAATAATACATCTCTCAGCTAATGGGCGAACCAATCCGATAAATAAGTAAATGAGCAAGGAGCGACTCCCGCTCGTGAGACTGCGTCCTAGGCCTAGTTGGGCCTAAGCTCGCCGATAACGGGTCGATGGCACTGGGCCTGTCCCATTATCCCAACAAAATTTATAAGCCGAAATCGTGAAATCTCAAGGATGAATGTTTAACTTAGTTATTTCTTTTGAAAAATTAAATACGTTATTTATAACTTTCGTTACATAGTGGAGTACTTTGTCGTTTAATGACATCATCGTTGATTTTCCAAATAGAAAATCATGAGATTTCAGTCTCATCGTGTCGGCATTATCTTGAGAGAAAATATAATATATTTAGAAGGATACACGAAAAAAATTAGCTTTATACGTAATACTACTAGTAGGGGTGTTTGTCGGTTCAGTTTGATCGGTTTCGGTTTTTAATTGATCAGTCTTAGCTAAAGTTTGACTTTTAAAAAAGTGAAGTCAAGAATGAGACAAGAAAACTTGAGTCATTTCGGTTGATTTGCATCAATTTTGGTCGATTTTAGATTGTTTTGATCGGGTTTTGTCGGCCGATTTTGGTTTGGCTGATCTTTTTAACCTAAAGTATAAACCGTAAACCAAAACACCGATGAATTTGTTTGTTTCAGTCAGTTTCGATTTTAGTCGGGGGTTTTGGTCGGTTTATTGGTCGCAAGGGCGTAGCTAGGAGGGCCAACCCTGACTCCGGCCCAGCCTAAATTTAAAATTTGTAGTGTACAAAATACATGTAAGAATTTTTTTTAAAAAAAATTGTTTGTACCGACCCAATCTAGCTTAGTCCCGTGGCTCCATCTCTACGTAATAGACTAATAGTATGTGCCCGTATGAGTGTGTGCTGGCAAAACATCAACCAGCGGGCATGGCTTTTTTAGTTTTTATTCAATAGGTTTCAGAGAGACATTTTTTGTGTATATGTTTGTTTTACGAGCTTCCAAGTAAAAAGTTATACTCCTTTCACTTTTCGCCAACGGCGGGCAGAGTCAGGAGAAAAGGAAGAATTAAATAAATACGTACAAGGAGCAAGTTAATCAGAAAGCGGGGATAGCTCAGTTGGGAGAGCGTCAGACTGAAGATCTGAAGGTCACGTGTTCGATCCACGTTCACCGCATATCTTTTGTACACATACTCAAGTTCCCGGTGGAGTTTTTGTACACATATCTTTTGTACACATATTCAAGAATTTATTTGAATGCATTCCCGATTTAAATTTTAGTTCAAATTTGATATGAGTAAACTAGACTTAATGAATAAGATTCTCAAAAAAAAATCATCAAAAAAATCCACCGAGAACCACCCCAAGTTTTAGTTCAAATTTGATATGAGTAAACTAGACATAATGAATAAGATTCTAAAAAAATCATCAAAAAATTCCACCGGGAACAGCCCCAAATGGCGTCAGCCGGACAGAGCATCCTAAATATGGTCTTATTTGATATTTTTTTCCAAGTTCGAGGCCCATTTTTATTCACGTCAACAGCAATTTCTTTTTACATACATCCAACAAAAACAATATCAAGATCATGAAAACGCAATTTCGACACAGCAATAACATCCAAACAATCCTCTGTGAATCTCTTGTCATTAAGTTAACGTTCAAGAACATTGTTCTATGTTTCTTCTTTTCTAAAATCAAATCAAATAAGAACAAACACATGCCCATCCACCTACTTAGAAAAAATCAAACTCAAGATAATTATCAGATTTTTTTTCACAGGGAATAACTCCTGGACTGGTTTTCTGGTCACTTGCTGCTGTTGGGACCGGCATCCTCTCAAACTCGACTGGCCTTGGGACTTCCGGCGGGCTTGCACAGCGGATCAAGGCCCAGTTCACGCCTTCAAAGAAGGGATGCTGTTTGATCTCGGTGGCTCCCCTTTTGTAAGCCAGCCGATTTTGCGGCTCTTTCACCAACAGACCTCTTATCAGATCCCTGGCAGAGAAACTGACCATTGGAGACTCAGGAAACCTCAGAGGCTGCCCCACAACGTTGAAGAGGGTTGCCCGGTTGCCTGACCCTTTGAAGGGCGTCTTCCCAAATAGCAGCTCGTATATAAAGATGCCAAAGGTCCACCAATCCACGGCACTCCCGTGCCCTTCACCCTTGATGATCTCGGGTGCCAGATACTCATGGGTCCCCACGAATGACATCGAGCGTGCCCCAGTCGGTTCAGCCATTAGCTCGGGCAATGGGCTGACCTGGTTGCCAATCTCATTCTTCGCCTTCTTCTCTTTCTTCTTTGCCTTAGACTTTGCTGAAGAGAAGAGGCGAGGCCCAAAACACGACGTGGGTACCACACAGGATGGCTGGATGCAGGAGGGCTGGACACAGTAACCGCCCGAGTTCTTGCCGAGTGGCTCTGACTCAAGAGACGACTTGATTAAGGTTGGGCTGACAGAACAGCGAAGAGAGAGGTCAAAGTCAGTGAGCATGATGTGTCCATCTTCCCTCACCAGAACGTTTTCTGGCTTAAGGTCGCGGTAGACAATGCCTAGCATGTGAAGGTACTCCAGAGCTAGCAGAATCTCTGCAACGTAGAACCTGATATCCCAATACAGTAGATATTAACAATAATAATGATATTAATCATAATATGATGATGATGGTGATAATGATATTAATAATGATAATAATAATCATATAAAAATTATTCTCAAAGCAATATTAGATAAACAAATGAAAACAGTAGTTATTTAGTCGTTAAGCCCAGAAGCTTGCAAATGAGCATAAATAGTCTAAACCAAAATGCTATGCTCAACCCTTAAAACCAAAAAGATTAAATAAATAAATTAACAATCCAACTATAAGAAGATTGATGTTTATGCGTAATGCAAATCCAAGTAAATTGTATCGTATTAGGTACTCTATGTTTTCATACTCCCTCCATCCCATTAGGTACTCTATGTTTACATACTCCCTCCATCCCATTAGGTACTCTATGTTTTCATACTCCCTCCCCTCCAGCACATGAAATAAGAACGTGAAAATTGTGTGGATGAGGTTTGCACGTAGGAGAAACAAATAAGCAACATTACAACTTCATTACTTTAAAGAGAAAGTGACGAAGATTTTGGGTCAGCCAATAAATGAAAAGTTGGCAAGGTCCAGTAGACATAGGAGAAACAAATAAGCAAAATTACAAATTAATTACTTTAAAGAGAAACTGACAAAGTCATTGGGTCAGCCATTAAATGAAAAGTAAGTAAGACGGACGAAGTTTTTAATTATTTGTTCCGTATATTCCTTTTTGCGAAGATTCTTTTATTTGCCCTATTTCCTAATTGGCAATTTTGCAGCTGCTTTTACCTTTACTTTACATAAAATACCATTACTTTTTCACCTTATATTTCTTACTTTTGTTTCTTTACTTTTCTGCTTTTACATCATGTCTCTCCTACTATTTCACTATCCCTACTATTTTATCTAAATCTCATTGAAAATCCTATTGGATCAACTGATTAATAAAGGAAGACGTCCGAAATAAACCATGAAACGTCAACAAGAATACATGTTATTTGCTAAACCCTATTTTGATTTTTAACCACCCACCGTGTCAAACAAAAGTACAGGTGTCTCAATTCTGAATGCGGAAAATACCGGTGGAAAAAACTATGGATGAAAATTAGAAGGAATAGAAGTTTGGGGAAAATAGAACATAGGCTTAAATTCCATAGTTATTTTCAATAATTGTTCAAACCCATTTTATTTATCTAGTTCTATGCATAAAGGTGAGAAATTGAAAAGTATGTAAAAGAAAATTTAAATCTGAATCACAATTTGTTGTACATAATAATAAAATATCTTTTGTTTAGCATTTCCCCCCTACTTCTAGCACTTTCAAGGATCCATAACACCCTTAGTAAAATAGTGAATGCGATGAAAAACGAAACACGGGTAACGAAATTTCTCATACCTAGAATAACTATAAGTCATACAATGGAAACTTTAATGCACTATGGATATAGTACATGAGTCAAGAAGAAACTAGCAATTTAATTCCCTTTAGCAATTTAGGTCCCAACTAATTGAAGACTATCAATCGAAGACCTAAAATATCATACATTTTGATCTCTTTAGTTTTTATTTTAATTTATTGCTAATTCTTTATGATTTTTCTTCACAAAATATTACAAAATCAATACAGTTAAATATTATTTGTATTTAACTCAATACAATTTATGATTTTTCTTCACAAAGTATTGGAACCAATTTTTTTTCCCTCTCAAAATTCCTTTGCTTCTAAATTACCTCCATCTGTATTTTTTTTTTATCTAGCATTTACCATGATCCAAACCTACGGAACCAAAAGCATTCAAAGAGGAAAAGAAATAAATATTCATGAAGGAAAAAAGTAGAATATATAGGATGAACAAAGTCAAAAAACATACTTAACAGCTTGTTCAGTAAAATGCTTTCCCGGTTGCTTTTGGCGGAGGGTGTGCAAATCACCTCCAGGGCAAAACTCCATGACAAGACAAGAAAACTTCTCAGACTCAAAATGTGTGTATAAACTTGGAAGGAAAGGGTGGTCTAATGATTGAAGTATCTCTCTCTCAGTCTGAGAACGCATCAATTTCTTCCTCCCTGCCAGTGACGCCTTATCCATGACTTTCATGGCAAAGTAACAGTTTGTACCACACAGCTCCGAAAGATACACACTCCCAATATCACCACTTCCCAACTTCTTAAGCAACCGGAAGTGTCTCAAATCCAATGCCCCGTCTCTAGCTCGAATTGCCTGTATGGCTTCCCATCTCGAATCGTTTGCTTTATGAGGCTTATTGGCACCACTGCTAAAACTGCTACAACTGCTTTCGTCACTTAAATCACTGCTAGTGCTGCCTCTGTACATGCTGCTCTTCCCGCTCTCACTTGTTTTGGCTATCCCACTTGTTTTTGCAAAGCTGTTTTCAACATTACTCACTTCGGGTGACACCGAGCTATCTTTAACTGTGCCACTCCCTGAACCTTTCTTCTCTTGATCAAATCTGGCTTCTGGTGGTGCTGATGCGTCTTGTGAATTACCCAAATTCAAGATTGAGTCAAAGTTGTTGACAAGAAACTCTTTTGTTGACTTTAAATTCTCTTTTGAGGCCATTGGTACGAAAAGCTATTGTTAAAGACTAGCCAGACACATCACTCAGTACTCCATTTCAACTCGGGAATGAGAGGAAAAACCATCAAGAACTGAAGTATCTGCACCCAAGATAATTAACACAATTAACAGAAAGCATAAACCGCTAATCCATACAAAATTGGGATTTCCCATGGAAAATGTTGATTATACATCAACTAACAGTGTAACACAAATACCTATACTGCGAAAAACGGAGCAAAACATAAAGAGCCACTGAAATTAAGACTCATAATGCCTCAAGGCCATATGCAATTGTATAAAAATAAGTGGACAGTTGACTAAATCTTACTCTATTGCATGCCATGTGTGGTTAGATCAATTTCATCCTCAGAAACTACACAGAAGCTAATCATATTAAATAATTCGGAATGAAAATACAGCTTTACTACGGCAGCCAGAGAGAAGAGCAAACCCCAGTTTAGTAGTGGAGAAAGAAAGGGGGGAGGGTCAATTGAGAGCACACAAATCTTGGGAAGAGACCCACTCTCTTTTCTAGGGCAACCCTACCAGGAGGGATCGGACCCATGTAGGGCACTGAGCGAGAAACAAACAACCCAAATAAATCACTAGGTCAATTCCAAAATCCAAGAGAAAAGATTGTACCTCAAATCATAAAGATCAGAGCTTTAGCCATGGAGGAGAAATTGAGCATCATGACTGACTGTAGTGGAAAAGGGGACTCCCATCGAAATGGGTATGAGCAAGGAAAGAGAGAGACTTTGAGAGTTGAAAATGCGGAAGAAAAATGATGCGGCCCTGCAACCTAATCCCACCATCTATGTATACCGGCTGATTAAAAATCAACCCTTTTGGTTGGCATTAAGTTTTTGTAAAGAAAAAAGGCATTGCCAAGTGCTGCGTTCATTCCTATTTATGTGTCTTGATAGATTTTCCTCACAAGAAAATGGTAAACGTGATAGATACTCTCCTTTAGGTTAAGATATCCATTTTGGTAGATTCTATGGTACCCATAAGGTACCATACTTTTGTCCACATGGACCAATGAAAATGTAGCAGTTGAATTATTTAAATCTAAATTAAAAATTATAAAGTGGTGTGGTCCAATCAAATGAATGATAGGTACGGTACCCCATTTTTTAGAAAGGTACCGGAGTTGTCACCATCCATTTTATCCATCAAATCCATTTTATATGGTTCTAAATCAACTTTCTTTATTTTTACTTTATTAATTCAATGTTAATCACATAAACTCATTTTTCTTAATAAAATTGACACATTTTTCTATTATGTTAGTGGGACGGTGATAATACTAAAAAAATGAAGCCATATATGATTTCATTAAGAGTCACATAGTGTATGTGTTCACAATTGTCATTCAATTTTATATTTGACTTATAATGGAGGCACCATTCTAGCATGAATGATTGATGTAAAGTCGTATATTCATAGGACTTGTCAAGTACCTTCTGGTCTGATGACATCACTTTGACATTCCCAAGGAAGAGGTCACGTATTCGAATTTCATCTCAATTCAAGGATGTTGGCCTTAACATTAAGCAGATATTATACTAGGTTAAAAGGAATTGTCCAACATATATATATATATATATATATATATATATTCACGTGACTAAAATTTCTCTAATATACTCCCTCATTAATGGTCATCCTTTTTTATTGAGTGTCTCAAAATTTTGTCAATTTTTATTTGAAACAAATATTCTATTTTTGTAGTTCTTGTTATTTTTTTCTCTTATCCACAATCTTCAACAATACAATTTTATTTTAACAGGGTTACCATTTCAACCATACGTCCATACAATAGTGTAGAGCCTAAACTATACAAGATATCAATAAAAGTTACTCCTACTTTGTGTTGTTAATACATCACAAAACCGATTTTGCATTGAAATAGGAGGAGACAGCTTTGATGAGTCAAATATGAAAGTAAAACAGCCTTTTTCACCTTCTAACCGGGCACTAAGATAGTGAGAATTGTGTGACGAATGTTATGCAGGAGAACGAGAAATATGTAAGAATAGTTGTGAACCACAAATTCTTTGCCAAAAAGGAAAGAGGAGATAAATTTGGGACGGACGAAAAAGGAAAGTATGAAGATAATTATGAGACGGATGAAGTAAATAGATAGATAAATTTTGAGTCTATTGTTTGACTTATCAACTTCAATCTGTCAATTTTTTTATCAAACATGTAACTTTAAGTTTGCATGCTAAATTATGTAATATTAAAACAAGTGAGATTAAAGTTACATTTTAGGCTGAAGTTACTTTAAATGACCATTTTATTTATTTTTCATATATTTTTTTCTTTTATTAATAAAATATTTTTAAAATATAATTTTTTTCATAATTCACCAGAACCAATCATTCTCTCAATTTCAGCAGAATTTCATCCACTTCAATTACAACTTCATATATTTTTTGCGGAATTGTGTGATTTCAATATTACAAAAAAACTAGGGTTGCCCTCACAAGTCTCAAGCACCGCTGTCTCCGTGAATGAATGAACAAACATATGGGGCCTAAAAAGTCTCCAACCTGTCTCTCATGCTTCTTTGGGCCCCCCAGCCCCACCCTTTTCCATTGAACCAAAAATGAAAAGACAAGGAGCGAGTGCATCACAATCACAAGGCCCCGCCTGTCCCACCCAACATCTTGATAGCACACCGGAGAAAGATTTGCCGATTCCGGTAGGGCTGATCATTGATCTTCGACTTATGATTCCATTCATTATTTCATTCCAGAATATTTACCCTAACAACATTGATGAATAGTGTATCCGGGGTAGCTTATCCGAAGGATTATTGCGGGGAATAACTAGAGAGAAGTCAGAGCAAATAAGTTAGAGAGAGAGTGTATATTCGATATGTATTAAGCGTATTTTGCTTCTGGTTACAAGTGGGGGAATGAGATGCTATTTATAACAGTAATAAATGCCAGATAGGCACACGTGTCAAGCACCCATTGGCCGAGGGGTCACATCAACCGGTTGGCGTTGGCAATCGCATGTGGCCGCATTTAATGCGACTGTTGGATGTGACGTTGTACTTGGTACGGTGATTCAGGCGCATGTGGAGTGGATATTATGTCGAGAAAGGTGCTCTCGGCTGCAGATGATTAGCCGAGGGCTCTGAGTACCGGGGACCCCCTTAGCGCCGAGGGTTCTAGGTGTCGAAGGCTACCGATTTTTGCCGTTTTCTCCCAGTAACTTTGTGTGCTTGAGCTGGCCGTCCTGTGAGAATTTGGAGCCTTCGCCAGGGGGGCAAAGGCACTCCCGTGTGCTGCGTGGGTTGCTCAGTACTTGGGGCGCTGTGTTTTGGGCCTGCTGTACCCCCTGGGTCTATTGGGCCTTTATCAGAATAGTAGGAGTCTATGGGCCGGGGGTTCCTGGATCATATACTTCATCAAACATAAAAAGTTTAATACTCCCTCCATCCCGTAAATAACTTCACAATTTGACTTTACGAGTATTAAGAAAATAAACTTATTAGGGGTTAAATTTACTGTTTTAACACTGTTTGGATGTAGAGAATTTGCCTAGCAAGAAATATGAAGTTCATTTCGAGACTATTCGAAAAGGAAAGTGTGAAGATGTTTACGGAGGAAGTACTGCATTAGGTTTACACGAAGTTGCTTAAAGAATACTCTTATACATACAATTATTTGTGTGATGTCATATCTTATTGGTGCATTATGATTGCCAAGTATATATGGAGCACACAAATTTACGGTGAATATATTCGTATTATAAAGGCAAATTATCGATGACACCTTTTGAGGATTGATGTACTCCGTCCGTCTTTAGATAATTTGCAAATTTTGACAGGCATGAGACATAATAAAATAAAAAGAGTTAATTATCAAAATAAGACTAAAAGTCATTCACTTTTCACAAATAGGACAAAAAAATAAACTATGTTTGCATAGGATTAATTATGTGTACCTTGGACAATTATACCCTTATAGCTATTAAAATGTTTTAATTCCTAATAAAATAATAAAAAATAATAAAAATTCGTAAAAAATACTACAAAATTAAGAAAAACGTTTCGATATTAAAAATTTAATTAATTTTTTTTCAAAAAATTAAAAAAATTAAAAAAAATTAAAAAAAAATAAAAACTAAAAAAAAAATCACCGCCGCCTCTGCCGCCTCAGCACCACCACCTCCAGTCACCAGGGGAAAAAATGCCAAGTTCATTACGAATGCCATATTTATGGCAGAAAAAAATGAAAATGTTGGCATTCGAAAAGAGAAATATGCCATTTTTTGGCATTTACAGAAAAAATGGCATTTTTTGGGAAAATGACATTTTTTTCATCGACCGGAGGTGGTGGTGCTGGGAGGTAGTACAGGCGGTGGGAAAGGCATCCATATTTTTTTAAATTTTTTTTACGGAGTTTTACTATTTTTTATTAATTTTTTTTAAAATAAAATTATTTTTAAAAAAAAATTAATTTTTTATTTTATAAAATTTTTATAAATTTTTTAATTATATTTCTACGAATTTTTGAATTTTTTTCGAATTTATTATGAATTAAACATTTAATTATGGCTTTTGACTATTTTTAATTCATATTTAATGGAAGGGTAAGAATGGAATGCAAAAATAGGTATGTTTCCAATAGGACTCATATGGTCCTATTTTGGAATAAAAATATAGCAAGTCTAATTTTAGATTTTTGTCATAGTTTTAGTCCTATTTGAACTATTTTCTAAAATAAAAATTGTGTTATTATTGAAATATGTGCAGAGGAGAGAAATAATAGAAATTACAAATTTATTGATTAAAAAGGAAAGTGACAAAGATTTTGAGACATCAAAAAAAGGAAAGACGACAAACTTATAAGGGACGGAGAGAGTATAATTTTTCACACCTGGCCTTGCACAATAAAAAATGTACGCTTACCTCCTCCATCCTTTAACAATGACTAAGGATGTTTTTACTTGGACTGTAATTTGTTGGTCTGGTCTGCTCTGGTCTGAACTGGTCTGGTCTGATTTCTTTGTATTTTTATAACTATCTAAGTCTAGTCTGGTTTGAACTGGTCTGGTCTGATAATTAATAAATTTGACCAAATTAAAGACCCTTCAACTGGAAATCGAACCCAATAAAACAAAAAAATATCAAAACTGGCCTCACTCTAGATAATTTATTTTATGTCTTTGAATTTGAAAATGACAGATTGAAAAAAAACCAACCTAAATATGTCATAATTGGCGAAAATCGAAACCAACTCTAAAGTATATTTTGAGAAATATATACTTCAGAGTTGAACCCTTTACAACTGCCCCCAAGGTGTAGTATTTATACTAGTAATTAAAGAGACGGTGCACTAAATACATTGCACATGTTGGCTATTCTATGGGTGAGAGCTCTATGGTCACTACTAGAATTTTCCTTATTTGCTGCTACCCATTTGCTCCTCTTCTCCACTCTTATCTTCTTCAAGGCTAATGATCATCTATTTATCATTTTAGTAAAAATTTTGTTAGTATTGTTAATTTTAATTAAAGAGGAGTAATGATATTTGGTGTTGGTATTAGTAGTATTGTTGGTATTAATGATACTTTTATCATTGTTTCTATTTGCTATGTGGTGCACCTTCAGAGGTAAAGGGATTTGTTTTCCATTTCTATTTTCATTTTTTGCAGAACTCCCTTAAGGCCTTAACCATATGATTTTTAAAATGGAACTTCAAAAATGCCCTTAAACTTCTGGGTTATAGTTATAATACTTCAGTAGCATTTTGCCTTGTTCTATAGTTATGCGTGTCTGGACCTCCATGATACATCTTGGTTATGAATTTGGTTGTTTTGCATGAACGTGTTATTGTAACTCGTGATGAGACTATCATCAAGTGCTTGGATCAGGAAGCTGCAA